ATTACAAGCATTAAATATAACACTGAAATGGTAAAAAAAAAAGCAAATTATTATTAATAATATCAAATAAATGTCAGTCACCCAAAATTACGTCATTGGTGTTACTGCTACACAAAATACTTTTATTTTTGAAATAATTTACTGTCTCTGAAGTGCCTCCTGTAACAAGAGATCATTTGAGGCAGTGCAGTGGACAANTGTGTGTGCATGTGTGTGTGTCTCCCGCTGAGCCTGTGTGGAGTGTGTGATCACACATCCTCCCTCTGACTGGCTGCACCCTACAGCCACACACAACCGAGATGTCTCTGACAAGCCCCTCACACAGACGCCTGTCATTTGGGGGGTGTGTGTGTGTGTGTGTGTGTGTGTGTGTGTGTGTGTGTGTGTGTGTGTGTGTGTGTGTGTGTGTGTGTGTGTGTGTGTGTGTGTGTGTGTGTGTGTGTGTTCTTCAGCTAGTTACCATGGAAATAGGCCAAGCAGCAGGCACGCGGGGGACAAGCAGAACCATGTGATTTAACTCAGAGACACACACTGTGCTGCACTGGTTGAGAAACACACACACACACAAAAACACAGGCACAGACACACACAGACTAAGACACACTGAGACACACACAGGGCTGGCGAGTGATGATGATGTGTATTGATGGTAGAGAGTTCCTGGAAGCCAAAGTGAGTCAAGGCACAAGTCAATCAAACTCCCTGACCCTGCGCTGGAGGCATAAGGAAGCGGGACCACTGGAGCAGCCAGACAGCAAACACACATGGAAGACGCTTCCACGTGCACCGTCCAGGTGAACACACTGGCTGTTCTGTCAGACACAGACACATTATATGTCGTCTGTGAGGCTTCATTATCTAACCTTATGGAAATCAGGCCCAGTTCAGTTTGAGCATGGAGAAATGGTGGCAAAGTGAGTTTTTCTTCAAGGGTCAAGATGTGAATTACATTACATGTAGTTTAGCTCATGCTTACCCACACTTCAATACTGTAGACATAACTACCGGAACAATTTTACGGATACGTTTCTTGCTCAAGTACACTTCTACATGACAGTAATCTAGGTTCACATTTCTTCTAATGGAATTATATGAATTTATTTTGAAAAACGAAACAGCAATGCCTATTAACATTAATAATACATTAATAGTAACCCGGTTACTCAAGATAATCCACAGGCCGTTACCGAAATACACCCACTTATAAATATAAATTCAAAAATAGCACTACAGGTCAGAGGACAATTATGTGTTTAACCACTAAGAACAGCTACATTTGAAAAAGTACTTTAGCTAGAAGTTAAATTAGCCAAAGTGGTGAGGTATCCATGTTCAAGAGTTCTGTCGCATCCCCAATACAATTCAGATTTATGTAATTGTGTTTGTGGTGCTCACAGTAGGGCTGCATGATTTGGGGGAATAATCTAATTGCGATTTTTCTGACAGATATTGCGATTGGATTTGCAATATTTGTTTTTAAGCGACTGTGAGACTGACCGTTGAGCGGCCCAGACCAAGCAAGGAGGCAGAGGCAGAACGTCCAAAAATACGACCCAACGGAAGTTTATTGTAAAATGCGGCCGAATCTCCGGCTAGGAAGGTCGTATCAACATGCTCCCGTCTCTGGCACCCCCGCAGCCCGAGCTACGAGTGAAAGAACTAAACTTACATGAAACTTCCGTTGGGTTGCTTTAAAGTCAAGCTTCAGTTTAAGATTCACTCAACCTGATCTCACCAGAATGCGTGTGTGCACCACGACAAAAAAGCCTCCTTCACTTTACATTGGGGTTTTTTGCGTGGTGCCGACACGTAAATGTATCAGAATGCGTGACTCCACCACGCAATGCGGTGTTAAGGAGTCGTGGTGGAGTCACGCATTCTGGTGAGATCAGCTTGGATTCACCCTGTAATAGATGTATAACATGTGATGGAGCATTACTAACCTGACTCAGATGGTTTGTTTCACCAAACCATCTAGGAAAGCTCCATTGGAAGCCATTTGGAAAAGTATTTCAAAAATACTTGGATTGGATTGTATCAATGTGTCTATCACCTACTATCATGGGCCACTTCTGATTGGTTAACAATGACTGATACGCGATTTCGATTTAAAATCGATTAATCGTTCAGCCCTAGCTCACAGCTTTAATAAAAGACATTTGAACAGAGATTTGTCTTTCCAGAAACAATGTCCTGGTTACCCTGAACAGTTCACAGACATTCCCATCAACAGCTATCAAACAGTTTCAACTTAAGAGATTGTCCCTAAAATAACTTTTGAAAGCATGGGAAATAATACCAAAACTCTCAGTTACAGAAGTGGGAAATATGCTTTTTAGTAATTTTGTGAACAGACCCTTGAACCTCTTCAACAGAACAGACATTTGACATTAAAGGCTAGCATTATTAAATCCCTCAGAACTATTCATTATTTAAAGGTCTCTCACTTTACAAAAAAGGGCAGACTGAATTAAAGGGATGTTCTGTATAGAATTATATGATGTAACTGTGCAGCCCTCACAATTGGCACCATAGCATTTAATACACAACCACCACACAAATCTTTTACAATGCAATGCAATGCAATACAAGTATTTTATTCTAATATTCTTTCCACTTTGTTACAGTAATGCGGAAGGCCTGCTTTCAGGTGGGATCAGATAAGCCTTAGCACAGGCTCTTGACGGTTTACACTGACTTAAGGTCACTTAAAAATATATTTGGGGACATTGGTGTGCTGTCCTCTTGTATAAAGTCCTAACAGCTGGCCTGTGAGTGCGAAAAAAAAGGCCCACCAAGGTGACACAAATATCAAAGGTGATAATGTCTGGTGATATTCTGCATACATCTGCAAAAGCTAGCAATGAACTGATCCTACTTACTGTACAAGTGTTGTGTGTGTAACCAAAAAACCCAATATAGGGTTATCTTATATATGGTTATATTATACACAAAGCCGCATCGTTAACCAACAACAAAAACCCATCAATGAGACACCTGCTGACACCATCATGCTGCTGTTAATACTCTACTAGAGCACCAACATGTGTATTCATCCACAACTGAAAATGGTTCCTAACAAATCATAATTACAAATGTGGACTAAGGTTTTTGTGTTTTTTGTAAATGAGAGGGCACAGCTGTCAAAAGCTGTTACTAAATATTCTTGCTATTTCTATATATGTGTGACTTGTTTGAAAAATGTATGCCTCAAGTGAGGTTGAATTGGAGAGCAAAAAGGCTTAGGGGACTGTTGATAGACAGATGTTTAGAATGTGGGATTTGTTGACTATAAGAACAATATATGTTCACAAACATTATATTTTAAAGCTGGAGCCACACGAGAACGTTAACGCAAACGACCGCTCGACCCGCTGGAGACGCTGTAGTACATATGCCGGGCCTGTAAGTGGCGCTGTACT